GAGAGAGACTGAGTAGGGTTTTGTGATATACCGTATCCTGAAGTTTGCACGTCGAAACCTTCATCCTACAAACCCAATACCAAAGATGCATCGATTTAGATAGAGAATTTGCAGAGAACTCTGATAGGATCAGTCTTGAATGTAGTGAGATTGGGGTTTATCTGATGGTTTACCTTGAGGTCTCGAATTAGAGGAAGAGTACCGGTGATTGAGTAAGGCTTCACATGCCCGACAACTTCTTCGGTAGCTTTGCATAGAACATGAAAGCCGCGGGAATCAAGATCACACGCAACTCCAGCTGATGCTTCATCAAAGCTTATGGTAAGCCTGCATGAGACAATCGAGAGTTTAAAGATCTTGGATGGACATTTAAGGAATAGAATCAGAGGAAGAAGAAGAAAAACCCAAACCTTCCGCATAAATTCTCATCCGGTAAGATGTATTTCGAAACAGGACCACGGGTTTCGAGCTTCTCTATGTTCGTGTTTATGTCGTCTACATACCCTTGCAGTTTCGTCATCACTTCTTTTACGCTGCAAAAACAGGGGAAACCATTAAAGTGTGCGTCTAAATGCATCGAAGAAATGACTAAGGACGAAGTGTTAAGAGACTTACTCATAGAAAGGAGTTAACCTGAAACCAAAAGAATAGAGAAGTGAGAACAAAAAACGATGAGACAAATTGGTTTTACGGTATTTGCAGCTTGGAAAGATTACCTCACATCACCCGAAACAGTACAATCTCCAGGGATTTGGTTGATTCCACCTCCCGGATCTGCAAATAAGAGAAAAATCCTTAGGACTAAGTAGACAACATATGGTGCAAGTCATTAGTGAAACACACATTATGCTATAATTTCCAAAACTTACAACTCCATTGTGTTGGCTTAATGGTGGATGGGGTCGCAAAGCCATAAACTTTCTCTTGTGGGTGAGGCGGAAAGTCCCTGTAAAACCGAGACTGGATTTCCTTTAGCCCTTCCATTCCTAACTCCATCGCATTAATCGCCTGCGTAAACAGAAGAAGAAGATGAAGATCAATTCTGAGTTTGCACCTTCATCAATCCGAGTAATCATTCATATTGAGAATACCTTGTGAGCTAAACCGCTGTGGAAAAGCTTTCCGGTAGCATGAAGCTTCCACGGAATCATACCACCAGTTCCAACACACGGCTGCTTATCTGCCGTATCAATCCAATACCTTTCAAAAGAATACACACATCACATAAGCTTCATTCATCTTCCAATCTAATAAAAACCCCAAAAAGAAGATTAAAAAGAATGGAAAGTACTAACAAGGGTCCGGATTTGAGCTTATCAAGAAGTTTGCCTTTAACAAGCATGTCCACACCAACACCTGCAATGGAAGAGTTCTCTTCACTAGCAATGAAAACCGCAACCACCGTCGATCTCAAAGCCGGTTTGGTTTGCCCAAGCCTCTTCATTAGCTCAGTCACAAGAGCAACATGACCAAGACAATCTGTAGTCCCACGACCACGAAGCTTATCACCATCTATGCTTAGCGAGAAAGGATCAAATTCCTATGAACAAAAACCAAAATCAATTGAACAGTTAGTCACCAAAATCCCAAAAAAATCACAAAAGTTGAAATCGAGAAAACAAAATGAAAGAAAGATTCGAACTTTGGAACAATTCGCATCATTTTTTCTAAACCCAAGCTCGATATCGTCCCTAATCGTAATGGGTATTAATCAAAACCAACGAACTTGGAATCGAGATAGAGAAAATTTACCCAATCATCGGGATTCGCAGTGACGACGTCCATATGCATTCCGACGAAAGATAAGATCTTTCCGGGAACAGATCCTGGGTACTCAACGATGAGATTACCTCTTCCTTTATGATAAGCGACATGATTGATCAGAAGAGGACCACCACCAGTTTCGGTACTGTAAGGTCGGAGAGAATCGAGGACGTGCTTGACGATTAGATCCTCTTGAGGAATAAGCTCCGGTGGATTGTTCTGGACGAATTTTGATTCGCCGATGAGTTTCGATAAGAGAGAAACGAATGAGTCTTTATCAAGAGAGCCTATGGATTCGATCATTGCCATTGTTACACAGAAAAAGGAGA